ATAACAAAGTATTAGTTGTTTATAAATACAAAGAAAGCTCACATCCATATACGTGTATATATGTGTATCTATTATTTGTAGTCATAAACCAATAGAATTATATTTCATTGTTCTTTGTATTTAACGTATACAATAATAGAGGGCAGAGGCATCTATCGCGAAAAAAATGTAACCCGAAAAACATCCGAAATTTTCAACATCAAACCCGCACCCGACCCGACCCGCAGCTAATCGAACCCGTGCCCGACCCGACCCGACAGGACTGAACCCGCACCCGACCCGACCCGATAGGGTTGAACCCGCACCCGTCCGCGGGTGCGGGTCGGGTGCGGGTTCGGGTCGGGTCGGGTCGGGTTGCAGTACTCTAATATCTAGCAATATTTCTTTGCTCACTAAGTTCATTTATTAATGCCTTGTTGCTTTCAAGGGTTTATTTAAAGACGTGTAAATATAATTAATTAAATCTATCAATTGTCATGTAGATAATGCTTTTTGTTTTACTTTATTTTAGTGTAGAATCATTGATTTTTATTGTGTTTTTTATTATAGATCTTTCATGATAGTAGATAAAATTTTCTATAAATATATTTTATAAATATGATTGATTCAAAAGAGTAGTCTATGTGAAAATAATTATTTATTGTTGTTTGCAAAAAATTGAAGAAAAAAAAGAAATTGTTCATTAATTTATTTCAATAAAGAATATTTAAAAACATGATAATTATCATAAGATATCTAATGATTTTCATTAAAATTCAAATTAAATATCATGAATGACTTCTAATCATTATGAAAAAAAAATGACGTTCTTCAAGAATATATATATATATATTTTTTTTTTTTTCTTTTGAATACATAACGTTTTCTTTTTGTCACGAGCAGATGCATGTTTGATTTTTATATATAATAAACTTGTTCATAATTTATTCCAATATAAATTGTTCGATGAAAATAAAATATTGGTGTTCTTCAACTTAAATAAATAAATTCATAGTTCACTAAAATTTATATTGTCTAACTCTAGTTTGAGAATCGATGACACGCCTTATGTTGACATTTGCAATATAAATAGAATACTTTCATCAGTTATTTAATGTTTATTTTATTATACTGTGTTTTTTTCTTTTATTATTAATACGCCACTGAAAAAAATCAGAATAATATTATTTTTTGTCATGCTCTGTTTTTATGTCTCACGAATGAAAACGCGATGCGAACTGATACATAGTGATTACGTTATTTCGCTTTTTTTTGTTAAAATTTTCTTTTTTTTTTTGGTTTTTACGACGTGAAGAAAATGGACGACTATGCTCTCCCTTTCTCTCTCTCTCTTTTTTTTTGCTTGTGAACACTTAAAAATGCCAGCGTAGGTTGGAAGTAAAAAAAAAAGGGAAAGAAAAAAGAAAAAAACGAGAATAAATATATTGTGTGAAAGTAAAAAACTCTGGCATATTATTTTTTTTCAAAAACAATAACAGTAGGTCAGAGGCGATTGCTTTTTTGATATTCATTTACAATAAAATATGCCGGCTCCAAATGCAGAAAGTTTTAAAAGAGCATGGCCTCGATGCTTCGTAATATTTCTTGGTATTGTCGAAGTTATAGCTACTATTGTTCTTATACTTACTGAATTGGGTAATGTTGCAGCAAATTTTTGGACAACAAATGTATTTGCCGGAGGTTGGTGTGGTCTTATAATGATTGTACACTTTTTTGGATTATTTGTTGCTGGTAAGATCTTTATTTAACAATAAATATATACTATTTAAATGAAATTTCTATAGGATGTTGTGCACCAGGTCCACCAGCTGCTTTTCGTGCAACTGTAATAAGCGTAATAGCTATTGTTGCCTGTGGTGCATTGATTGGATTTGATGCTTATTTCCTTGCCCAACCTACAGCATGTATATTAACATCGTCATGCGCTTCTAATGCTGTAGTACCAATAGCGTTAGCTAATTCATTTCGAACAAGCTTTTTTACAGCATTCAATAGTCTTAGTGCATTTTCAAGTTACACTGAATCACAAACAAAATATCTCTTTCGAGCAATTCAAATAAGTGTTGGTTGTTTATGTTTCGTGCTTTGTATTATTTATTTGATTATTTATTATGTCGTAAAAAGCAAAGCTGCAAGAGATGTAGTACCTTCTGGACCTGATCCAACTCCTCGTGCTCCACAACCAGGATACAATTATAATCAACCACAACGTGCACCTCAACCACCACCAGGTCACGTTCAATTGAATCCCAACAGAAGATACTGACATTATCCATTAAATTTGAAAACAAAAAATCATTTTAAATACTCTCACTATTTTCTTTTTTTCTTTTTTTATCCCTTCACAAAGAATTGAAAATTTTTTTCTGCTTACAAGAACATTATTTCACCAAGATACGCACAAAGTCATGTCTGAATAATGTCTTTTTTTTTTCTTTTCCTTCTCACATTTTATGTTATTGAGGTGCTGAAATACAATGCAAACAGATCGATGAATAAAATTCATTTACGTCATTTCATCATCTTACCAACAGCAACATTAAACAGAATTTTCATGCAGGTCGTGAAAGCTTTTTTTTGTTTCGCATAGAAGCAATATTAGTAATTTTCAATCAAATTCTGTTTTTTTTTTGTCATGACTCTTGTGAGAGAAATAAGTCGGTAGAAGCCCGGAAAATCAAACTTATGAATATTAGACAGAATGAATATAATCAAAAGTAAATACTTATTCGTTCGCTATAATAATGTAAAGCCTTTTTTCTCATAGAAAAAAAATAAAAAACAAAAAAAAAATGTAGATGATGAAATATTTTATAATACACGGAAAGTAGACTTCGGTTGAGAAGTGTTTATTAAACTTAATAATACTCGTGGAGTTGAATAGATTGATTCATTATTTACGATGAATATTTGATGAGAATTATAATAAAAACTATATAAGTATATAATATCTATTCAATTGATCTCTTTACCAATATTTTATTTTATTTTGTCGAGTGTAATGGATCACTCAGTTGATAAAAATTTATTTAAAGATAGATCAATTTTTGAATAGAATATTTTTCTAATACAAATATGAGAAGAATAATTTATAATCGAACACACTATATCTTAATAAAAAAAAAATGAAATTTTATTTTTACAGATACATAAAACTGAATTATATATATGTATCAGACAAAATTAAACAGAGTTTTTTTTTAAGATTTCAAAATTAAAAATATCAAAAAAGATGAAAATAAAAAAACTTCTATTGAGTTGAGTTATTTTCTCAGCCAAAAAAAATGAAAAATTTTTTAGTTGATGCATTTCTTATGATAGAATAATAATTGTCTTCTCTCAAAATTCAATAATCCAAAAAGGTTTCAATGTCATTTCGTTTGTTCATAAAAATATTTTCGAAACTTATTTTTCGTTGTCGATGCAAAAGAAGCCATTGATGGATATATTACAATATTATTAACAAATGAAAATGAATACATTGCCTAGTAACAAAAACAAATCGATACAAACTCTGTATAATTAGAATTTATTTCTACATAAAAAAGAATTATTTCGTAGTTTTGTGCCTAATTAAAAAAGAACTCTGCCTAGAGAAGGGAAGTCGATGGCTGCTGTGCTCAGGCCGATGATCATTACATGTATATTGAATCCGATTGTTGATGTTAATCAGTCTTTTTTTTGTTTATACATGTCATGAGCAGACAGATTAGTTTTCATATGATTCAATGGCAGTTTTCAAGCGCTACAAAATGGTATAAAAACATCGGTCACACAAAGAAATTCTAAGAGTAGTGTTCTTGAGACATGATGTTGTGCCTTTATTTAGTAGATTTCGATAAGAAAATTTATGATTTGGGTAAAGATTAATATGATACTCTGAATCAGCATTTTAAACTAAGTGGATTTAACATGTATTTTAAATATTATCGTAAACTTTTTTTTCGTTAAAAAAGTACACCCCTGAATCTCTCAGATTTGAGTGTGGAAATGAGATTCATGAAAACTCTATTATTATTCTACTAGATGGAATTCTGCCATGGTTTTATAAACTTAGAACTTGATTCCTATTGTCAAAATAACTTTTTGATGAAATTCATTTTTTTGACGGAATCCTCAGGGAGGATCAGAGGTGAATTTTTCATGGAAAAATTCAAGTCTCTGAAAATAATTGAAATACATTTAAATATATTCAATTTTGGATACTGATTTAGAGTATCATATTAGTTTTCATCCACATCGTAATTTTCTTATTGAAACCTACTAATTACCAATAAAAAAAAAAGACATAAAATCATGTCTCGAGAACGGTCTCCTTAGAATTTCTATGACTATCTAGTATTTTTTTTTCGTTGATATTTTTACACCATTTTGAAACACTCGAAAAATACTATTGCAACATAGGAAAATTATCCTGAACACTCACGACATGTTAGATAAAAAAGGCTGACTATCATCAACAGTTGAGTTCAATGTGTAGGTGACGATCATTGACGATTTCAGTTGATATGTACACAATACAAACAAGTGCTATATGATTAATTCTACCAGAATTCACATTCGAACACTTCGTGTGTGATAGTTTGACATAGAAGAAATCAAATTTCTTGAGAAAGTCAGTTTCAACAGTTATCAACCTATTTCCCTCCTTTATTTTTGTCTATGACATATATTTCTATGAAAAAAATGCCACGATTTATATCATGATATTATTTTTAAAATACATAGAATTTACTACTTCATAATAAATTGCAATATTTTGAAGAATGTCACTTCATTATAAAATTGAGTTCATTGATTTGTTGTGTTATCGTGAAAATATTATTGATTTATGTCATTTTTATTTTGCAATTATTTGATGAAGATATTTTAGTTTGATAACAATTATTATTAAAATTCGATGTTTTTTTTTTCTCTATATCTAAACTAAATATGAAACATTATTTATTTCAATGAAAAAAATAAAATGATTCGATAAATATTAAAGTAAATACAATAGTTTATTTTAATTTTAATTTATTTTTCGATGATAATTTCTTAATTTTAATTGTATTATTGTTCTTTGATTTTGCTTGTTTTTTATTATTTTTATATTGTGATGATTGAATTCGATTAATACTTAACTTTCGTTGTTTAGTTGAATGTTGAATTTTTTTATTCATATTTTTATTTTTATTATTATTTTTCATAGTTCGTCGTAATGAAGTTTTTTTTTTACTATTATTACATGTTAAATTTTTTTTCTTGTTTATTGTATTTGATTGGTTATTAGTTTTTCGATAAATATTATTAGATTTTGTTGTATTTTCAATAATACTATTTGTTGATGGTGTTGTATTAAATAGTTGTGTTGTACCTTCGAGTGTTGATAATAAATGTTGAACTTTAACAGCAGAAATACCACCACAATCATTACATACAATATCTTTTTGTTGAGTACGAAGATGATCTTTAGTTGATAATGGAATTGAAGAAACTAATTCTTGTATTTGTTGATAATTATTGTTATGTGACATGAGAAGAAAGTTAGAGAAATTAAAAGAAGAAATAAGAAGAATGAATTTTGGCGCTATTATTTATATATTTTCAAAATGTATAAAAATAAAAAAACAAGATAATTTTTTAGATTCCAAAAATTTTCAAGAAAAAAAAAATGCGGCTTCATTTTAATTCTTATCGATATTTGTAGTGTTACTTTTTTTATGATATAAGTTGATGTTTACAGTTAATAGTATATATACGTTTTGTTTTCTTAAAAATGGATGATTCATATTTATGAAATGAAAATTTCAATAAGACTTATTAAATTAGTCAAGATTTCATTTGATTATTATCAACATAACTATTGATCTTTGATAATAAAAAAAAATGCCAAAAGTCTTAATTATTGAAGTCAAGATTAGAACGTATGTGACGATTTGCACAAAGGCACTTTGAATCATTTTGTTTGTATTGATCAAATTACATAGAAGAAAAAGACTCTGTTTGAAGTAGACCTAGATCAAGAAATACAGATCGTTTCCGACCGAAAAACTCGAGAAAATGATAGAAACTTGGAAGCAGGATCCGGATACCGGGATCATTGACCGGAGGAGCTCAGCGGTTCCAAAAAAAAACGAACCGAGATTTTTCGATTCTCCTTAGCCGAAATCAGAAAAGTTGGAACCGAAAACTATTTTTACTGGGAGCTGAGCAATTGGTCAAGTGTTGCATAATCTTAAGCTAGTGGAATCAATCTACAATTACACTAGTGCTTATGTTTGAGAGATAAATATGGCGTATTTTTCATACTTGAATGAAAAGACAAATTAAGAATAGGCAAAAGATTGATTAAATGTTATCTGAGTAGGACCTAGAGTTATCTACATCTGCTCACCTTTCAACGACCTCGGCACAGGGAAATTTTTCATTCATTCACTATGTTAAATTCTAATTCTAATACAAAGGAATAAAGACATAACTTATATCTATAAAATGAATGAGCAAATGTGTTTTACTTTTGTAATTTCGTTTTATATGCTGATATTATGAGAATGTGGAAAAATCATCTTTATTAAAATGGATGATACTTCATCAGTGCAAGAAAAGATTATAGATTGGAATTAAAGCCGTGGTCCCAAGTATTTCTTGAAGAATCCCCGGAACTTCAGTTTATACTCATAATTAATCTTTTGAGTTCCAAATGATTTCTACTGGATTGAATTTGACTAGACTATTCGATTAGCTTTATTTTAGACATACAAACATATGACATAAATACTTCGTATACACTCACATGTGATTTATTCAATAAAAGTTTTATTGATTGTTGTTATACTTGAACGGATATTTTAATTGCTAAAACTTGTACAAATTTTTCATGAAGTAAACAGAAAACAATCTTTATCTTGTTTCACACAAAGAAAAATATGATTAAGTGTGAGTGTAAGGATGTGGATGAAGAGATTTCACACTCACTAGAGCCCATCGGATTACTCGGACTCGGTTGGATCCGAGTCTGAATTCGAAAATTTTGGGCTCGATAGACTCTAGGGGTGTGAGCAATGTATAGGATGTGCTAGTCGTCGAATACAAAAAAAGCTGAAAAAACAAAGTATCTCGTATCTTCGGTGCGACGATTCAATTTCGATTAGAAAATTTCATATAGGGTATCAAAGTACAATTCGACCGGGTCCGAAAATTTTGAATCTGACGAGCTCTGACACTCACTCAAATCTACTGTTTAACTATTTCATAACTCGAATATTCATACAATTGGATCGAAAACTATTAATCTTAATCTATATATATATAATGTTCAGTGTTTGTCTGTCTGTGTCGGGTCAAAGATCAAAGATTAAAAGGTCAAATAAAGCTATAAGCGGAAGGCCCAAGGGCTACTATATTAGGACATCCATAGGCCCTCAAGAACTATTATATGGGAGTAGCCATAGGTCCTCAAGGGCTGTTATATGGAGGTACCCATAGACCCTCAAGGGAGTAAGGCAGTAAGGGAGTAGATAATAAGGGATAAAGCAATAAAGGGATAAGGCTACAAGAGCTACAAGGGATATAAGGCTATAAAGCCGAAGGCTGCCTGGACTATAGAAATCTGTGCGATATAAGAGTATCAGGCCGTAGGGTTATCTATGTATATAGATAATATCAGGTGTCTGTTATCGGATGAAAAGTTAAACATCTAAGGTCGTACGTTAAAGAAGGAAACAACCGTGCAGTACGCACGGGTTCTTGTTAGTATATGAAAGTCTTGATCAAATGAACAAAAACTGTTTTTTATCATTGTTTTTTTTTGTAAAATTTCTGAGAAAAAAAAATCAACAAATTTATTAATTGATGTCGTTGTATTTAAATATCGTAAGAATCGCACGATGATCACTTAACATCCATTGACTTTGATCATTCCATACTAAATGATTACAACCACGTGGAATTAATTCACTTGCTATTGGTTGAAGAACATTTGATTTATAAAAAATAAAATCTACTCCTAATTGCTCATTTCTATGTGTAAAATGTGTTACATGAGGTTCATATCCATGAATAAATTTATAAGATGATTGAAAATGATTTTCTACTAATTGATAAACATTATCATTATGATATGACGAATTAAAATCTCCACATAAAATAATTGAACATTGATTTAAAAGATTTTTTGATATTTGATAATTATGTATTAATTCAAGAAATTTATTCATTTGTTTTAATCTTAATCGACGTTCAAATCTATAATGTGGAAATGTTAAATGAAGATTAATTAAAAGTATATTTTTTCCGTTTAATTCAAGATTAAGTAAAAGTCCAATACGATTTCCAATATCATTTAATTTAAGTTCATATTTATCAATAACCTTTAAATAATTCGTATCAACAAGAATAGCTAAACCATCATCAAGAAAACCTGTTCGTTGAAGTGTATAAAATGAATATTTTGATGATAAATTTGATTTATATAACTGAATAAATAATGGATTTTTAAACCAAAATTCTTGTAAACAAATAAGATTAATTTCAAGCGATTGAAGAAGATTTATTATTGATAAATGACGTTTTTGCCATAAAGAATCATAACAACTTTCACGATCCTTTTCAGATGATAAACGTTTATAACATGGTGCTAAGATATTGAATGTACATACTGATAATGTATTATTTTTAATATCCGATAAATTGGAAGACATTCTTCTAAATTTATTAGATAAACAATATTTATTTCAAATTTTATTTTATATGAAAAATACAAATTGAAGACTACTATTCAGCAATATTAAAATCAAGAACTCAAAAAGAATAGTAGTCTACTCCAAAAAAAAAATAAAGTAAAGACTACTCCGGATTTTTCATGCAATGAAGTTGAAAAAAAAAAGTCATATACTACTAACTTACCTTGAATAAACAGAAGACATTGGCAATTGAAGTAGAACATAGGATGAAGAAGTAAAAAAAGAATTGAATATTTTTTTATTAGCCATGATGATCGCATTGATGCGCATCATCTACAAGCATGATTATCTCACTAATCAATCAATTCATAAAAACCAAAAAAAAAATATCTGATTTATTAAAAACACAAAAAAAAAAGTCAAAAGATCTTCCTTGAAGAGAAAAAAAACCATGTTTTACATAATATGTTACATAAAAAAAATTATATTAATCAATCGTAAAATGAAAATGAAAACATTTTGTTATAATTCATCAAGGTATTTATTTTTCCTTGTTGTTTGAATATTGATCTGGTACAAATTGGCTTCTATTTCTTTGTCTATTATGACTTATAGAAGCCTAAACTAACGGATCAGATATAAGTAACGTCAACCATCTGGTTCAATAAATGTAATAGCTCTTGAGTCAGGTAATATCTAAACATTCTTCCAGTACATCTTGTGCTTCATTAATCATCGAGTGTTTGTTTTTTACTATGTTAAAATATAAAAGGAAAATCATTATATTAAATTTTAAGATAATAATAATAATAACTTACTTTTTTTCTCGGTAAGTCTAAAATAAGAATATTCACTTGAAAAAACAATATGCATTGTTCCATTTTAATTTTGAAAAATAAAAAATTGTCATTGGTGGACATATATTAACCGATAGAATACTTGGTACAAAACTCTACAATAAAAAGAAACGAAAAACCAATTGCTAATACACGATCCAACGATATAAAATGTGACTGGAAAGAAAGAAGAGTTATTGACCAATGCACTTGATAAGGCGACATCTGGATTTCATGAAAATATCAGAAAGCCAATTTTTGATAGAAATGTATTAAATTAGACAATATGTTAACTTAAACATTTTATTTTTAAGAAATAGAAGTTTCACTCATCAGATGACGCTTCACAATCTAGTGATATTTTAATAAGAGTATGAAAACCATGCAAACGTAAGATTTCGGTAATACCAACTTCCAAATTTTAGTCAACCAGACGAATTTAATATGATCAATAATCTATATCAGTGATGTATTGCATATACTGTTAATACAACCGTTTTAAAATGAGTTTCATTCTAAATGCATCAATGAATTTCTAGTTTGATATTGATTTGATGATTCATGCATATGTGATCATACTTTATACTTCTATTACTAAAAACTACAAGAGAAAAAAAGAAATGAAAAAGTAAGATGCGATGAAATGCGAAATTCAAGTGATTTTCATTTTTAATTTATGTATATATGACTAGATAGAGCTTCGCAAACTGTTTGAAAATATCTGATTCTTATTTCAATAAAATCATCCTCTCTGCCGAAAAAGCTCAAGAAACAAATTATGTTTAATGCAAGACCAAAAATCACTTTTTTTTTCTCAAATAGTCTCTAGTTTTTATTATGTATTTTTTTGTAAACTCATTGAAAAGTACTTTATTTTTATTTAAGATAAAAAACTGCGTAGAAAAATGCTATTTTTTTTTAAAGATTAGTAAACTATAAAATTTTATTCGTAATAAATATCAAAGGTCTTAAATGACTGGATCGAGTCCGGTC